TATCGGAAATTTAATTCACGATTACTTAATATGTGCTGCTATGTAATTGAAAATCAAGTGAAATTTTGTAGTATTATTATTTATTGAGAAAAAAATATGCGTCGTAGCTTTTAGGAAGGAAGGTGTGTTGTGTGTGTAAATTTCATTAACTTATTAATTATTTCACTGATGAATTGATTGGTTGAGTTGCTTTGATTTGATTTGATTTCATTTCGTTTGGTTGCAATTCATAGCAGCAGCAGCATCAGCACATGAATGAGCACATGCATGTTTGTTTATGTGAGAATATGGTAGAGGTATGTGATTGTCCGTGCTGGATTTATGCCTTTGACAAGGCAGGCGGGCAGGCAGGCAGGCAGGCAGCAGTCAGTAGCCGACCGTATGGTTATTTGAACGTTCATCTAAAACGACGATGATCACTGCATATTTCATTTGAATGTGATGATACGCAATGGTGAGCAGAAAGAATCAGAGAGGAATAATAATAATAATAAGTGACGGCAAACAAGCAAACAACACAGTTGAATTATAAGTGGAGACGAACGATTGAAAGTTTCTTTGATTGTGATGTGATGATGATTTTATGTTTGTATCGTATCGTCATCCCTTCACACATCCATCCATCCATCCATATATCTGTATCTCACTTAGACTGATACTGGACGATCACTACGTGGTGGTGGTGGTTGAGATTATTGCAGGTGAATGAATGAAGTGATGAGAGGAGGAAATGAATGAAATACATCTTCAATATCTATATATGTATATGAATCCAGCGTGCATAGGCACCGACCACCGTTATCTCACCGTTTACCTGTGAACTAGATAGAATAAACACTTATTATTTTTTGTTGACGTCTGTCTATATTTTTGCTGACAAAATGCCCGTTTTATGCCCGTGGTGGAAGTTCGTTTTTGGAAGAAACGCGACAACGAAAGCAAAGCCAGCAGTCAAGTCAGCCAGCCAACTGCTGTGCTCCTCTTCTGCGCTCCATTCCTGTTCTCGTACTTCATAATGTTGTTCGGTTCTCGACATCGCTGAATGTGTGTGTTTGTATGTATATGTCGTCTGAGTGATTATCAGCAACGAATCATATCATTAATAATAAGAATACAATAACAAATACACTCTAGTAGTTGCAGGAGCAGCAACAACATCAGCATTTTATCTTTGTGAAGTGGTGATATTTGAATGTTTTCATCTATGTTTTATAGACGGTGCATTTTGCCTTGAGCGTTGCATGGTATTTGTGTGTGTGTGATATCTTCTCATGCTTTACATTTATTATTTCATCCGTTTTGCACAGAATATCCATCCCATCCATCCCCTCTCTATGATTGTTCAATAATATTCTTTGAAAAGATACCGTCCGTCGTCTAATTTATGAAATGATATTTGTATTTGATTTTCTTTGCCTATACAACAACTATGCATTTTGTATGTGTGCTGCTTGTGTGTGTGTATGTGTATGTGTATGTGTATGTATCACATTGAAATGAGAAGTCTTCATTCAGTCATTTCTATGTCTTCTCGTATCCACTTCTCTCAGTTACCGATTGAAATACATGAATTAGTGAAATACAATGTTGGAAAAGACCCACCCAAACACGAGTGAGTAGACCGCCCTCCTTGCTCTACATCTTATGATTATTATTATTATTGTGATTATTAATAATTTTATTGTTATTATTATTATTATTGTAATATTATATT